TCACTTACTTAAAATAACTTTAAATTCTACTAAATGGGTTAATGAAATTTGAATTCTTTTTAAAAAAGCTATTAAATAGATAAAACAAGACCCATTCTCCTATTATTTAGGAGTTGAAATTTGAGAAACTTCGACCGAATTATGCGAAATTTTTTCTTATATTACTCTAATTTCAACACTTGCCGAAGGGCGACGGCTAATTATTTGATGTTTTCCCTAGAAGTTTATTAAGACCACATTAAGCAAATAAAAAAGTTCAAACAAGCCTGCCATATAAAAAGTTGACTTTTCGTTTTCACTAGTATGAAATTATTATCTTAACTTTTTAATATATATTTTCATTCTTAAAAAGATATATAAAAACAAAATAAAAACCCATTAGCATTTAAGAGTGACAAAAACAGGCCACAAAAAACCTGTCATTTTTCAATACCTTCAACTCACCCCTTCATTTCCAAATTTAAAATCTAATATTTTTTCTCAAATATAAAATTACACTTAAAAATATCAAACAAAGACCAATAGATCTCTTCTGAGAACGCTAAAATCAAAATCTCAAATAAAAATAAAAAAGGGAAAGAACAAAAAATCACAATTCGTCCCAACCCACATAGGCAAGCCGTCAGACCCAACCTATTTTATCACCCTAATAGCATTTGATGTTGTTTGTTAAGAAAAAGCATAAAAAAAAGGTTATCAAATCGAATAGCGCTTAAATAATATAAACATTTTTTTAATGGATTTAGCTTTTAGAATTGATTCATTACAGAAACATGCAAAGGTAGGGATGCGCATCCAAGACGCGAATAATCAAAGTCGTTACAATTCTACCTTAAATTGAAAATGACTAAAAAGAAGCCAATGCTGGTTACCAAAATTACTACACCAAATAAACCTAAACGAATATCATCCAAGGTTTCGAGCATCTAGCAAATAAGAAATTATTTATACAACTCAGACACCTACTTTTACCAAGTTTTTTTTTTCAGAATTGGGGCAGAATTAGTGTATAGGAGTACTTGATAAAAACAAGAATGAGGTTTCTTCGGCAAAAAGAGGGCATTTAAAATAATGCATATCACCGTAGAATCAGTGCACGAGCGAGTTAGCAAATAACATTTCTTTTAGAGCACAGTTGATTACAGATTAACTGCAAGAGCACACTCATTCACAATAGTGTTAATACTAGGCTACGGAAAGAGACTTTGGGCTGTAGCAAAGCACGATGTCATTGAAAAAATATGCATTAATAATCCCACACTAAACAAGGTCTCGTAGTAGGTCCCTATGGAACCATTGGCACTAATTGCTAGATAAAGACGCAAACCACATTAAACTCAGAAATACCCTTTTACTACATAATGTACCACTTGCTATTCTAACAACTAGAAAGTAAAAGTGCCATTGTAGCCTTTCTTCTTACTCTAAAAACGGACATCCTTACGTTCTAGACCTGCGCACTGGAGAACGGCTGCAGATAAAGCAGAATAAATAAGCTGCAAGAGTGAAGAAAAAGAGTGCATGAAAGGTTTAAATTTACTGATAAGAATATAATACCTGCGAAATCTACCATATTCAGGACTCCTTGGCTTCCCAAAATCAGGACTCCTCGGCTTCCCAAAGTCAGGACTCCTCGGCTTCCCAAAGTCAGGACTCCTCGGCTTCACATAATCAGGACTCCTTGGCTTCACATAATCAGGACTCCTGCGCCTGCCATAATCAGGACTCCTGCGCCTGCCATAATCAGGACTTCTGTGTCTGCCATAATCAGGACTCCTCCGCCTGTCAGGTCCACCATTATACCTATCATAGACAGGACTGCGTGGACGACCATAGTCGGGGCTTGGTCGCCTGTGATAAACTGGACTGGGTGATCTATCATAACCTCCTCTCCTGGGACTATCATAATTGTCACCCCTCTCACCATCATCCCTCAAAGCATACTCCACAGACACCACTCTGTCCAGGATCTTACTGCAAGTGTAATGAAACCAAAAAATTAATATTTGTAACTATACTACAAGACAATATAATTCCATTACTAACCTCATATTTGTACACTCTAATGCTTTAGTGGCATCTTCTTGCGTTTCAAACTGCACAAAAGCAAAGTTCCGGCGAATCCGGACGTGAAGAACATTTCCATATGGTTCAAAGTGTTTTTCTATATCCCGAACTCTAGTCCGGATTGGATCAAAGTTAATCACAAACAGGGTTTTTGTTGGCCTCTGGTTTGCCTTTGATCCATCACGATGGCGTCCTCGTTCACCCTGCAATAGAAAAGAATAGGAAAAAGCTTCCATTAAAATCAGGTAAGATACTATTGTTCTTGTGTGCTATCATCAATAAATAAAATCAAAATACAATCATGAAAACATTATCATACCCTAGCCCACTCCACAGATAGCCTCCGCTTTTCATGACCAAATGGAACATTGTCAAGTGCACGAATTGCTTCTTCTGCATCACGCTCATCCTCATAATAGACAAAAGCAAAACCTGAAACAAGGCTAGTATTAGAGGCATAAATGATTATGAAAGACATCAGCATGTTATTCCTCACCAGAAGTACATCAGCCAAACCAGGAAATCATTTTCCCTGTCAGGAACAAAGGAATACAACACCTGAATATATGAGGGCTGATGCACATGAAGCTGTAGAGGCGTTGAATGAGGAACAAAATCATGATTGCAAATAAAGGTTAAATCCAAAATTCAGATCTGAGACTGCTAAGCATGCTTCTCCATTCAGACAGCACAAGTGATTTCAGAAATAGAATGGCATGACTTGACAGAATTTCATTGATCCCCTATTTTCAGATAAGCTATGCATTGCTTAATAAATTGATTGATGATCCCACTAAGAACATTCTGATGGAAATGTCAATGTTGGGAGATGGTGAGGTGAGTGACGAATGATCAGATGAGAAAATGCAGATCAGTGGGTAGAAGGAGAGCAGGCAAGCAAGAAGGTTTTCTTCCAAAAAAAATTTGCAGAGAGGTTGGCAAGCCAAGACAGAAGCTCAGCATGTTTCCCCTTAGTAGAAGTTCCTGCGCCAAAACAAACACTTAAAAACCAGAGGATTTTCTTTCCAGGCAGTGCAATTGTGGCTTCCATTTATTTCCTACCAGGCCATAGGAACTACAGATTCAGCCCACAAAAGCAGCCATATGCTCAAATCCAAATTCCAAAACACGATCGCCCCCATTTAGATGAACGTCTTATTTTGTTAATTTTCTTTAATCACCATAAATAAGTCCTTTGGCTCCCCAATGGAAGCCCAAGGTAAATCCCACAAGCCACACTCTTTGAACCACCTATGAGATCACTACTGAGACCTGGGGTTTAGTCAACTTAAAGTTCCTCGCCTCTCTCCAAGAAAGTGTTCTGTGGGGAATCGAAACCATTGTCTTTCCCCACAAGCTCAACGTGAGCCACACCCTCTCTTTTACTCATACACTAACTTCACAAAAACAATGACATCTAGCCGATGCCACGGCCTATGGGCAACACAACACAAAATCAGTTGAACAACTGACAATTCAACATGTCAAATAAAAATTCAATACGACGACAGGGTAGGGTTTGCTCACAAAAGGTTTAACAAAAAAATAAAATTAATAAAAACAAATTTGTACTTCATCCTCACCATTTGCAAGATAAGGGAAACTAATGAAAAAAAAATGAAACAGATACAACCACGAGTGCTTTACCAGATTTCATGTCCACGCGGTCAATCCTTCCATACTTTGAAAACAATCTTTCAAGCTCCGATTGACGAGTATCGTACTCCAAGTTTCCAGCAAATATCGGCCTCATCCTCTTTGCTCAAATAGCTTTCAAAATTAAAATCATCAATAAATTAACCCAATATACAGAATCAAGAAGGGTGTAAAACCCACAATGCCCTAAACCCCCTTTATCGCTAACCCCACTTAGGTATTTCAAAAGTTTCAGAGGAATCGCAGAAAATTTCTTTACCCAGAAACCCTAATGCAAAAGGTGAGAGAAAGTGAGAGCTTACCTGAAAGAAAAATAAAAGCTTTCGAAATTTTTTGGTGTACAGAAGACTCAGAGTGATAAGTTTAAATATGGTAGGGTAGCCTGTTGAATTGGGTTTAATCCAATTCTCGGTCGTGAGCCCAAAATCAAAAACCCTAATTTCAGTTTTTTCCGTGTGAATATAATTTTAGTTCACTAATATTTAGAGATTTCATTTTTTTTATCTCTAAATGAATATTTGATGGATTTAATTTTTTTTAAATTATTATTTTTGTACTAATCATTAAGTGATGATATAACTATTATATTGATTATTATGTGATTTTAAGTTTATGTTGGAATCAAAGTGATCCAATTGCAATGCGTAATTTATGTCTTCAACGTAATGGATTAAGAGTAATCTATTATTCTTACCGTCAATGACAGTTAAACATTGATTTTCTCCTTGCAGTAAGTGGTTTTTTCCATCACTATCAATCTCTGGGTGTAAGGTAAGTGTTTATCTACTGGTTCCTATGTGGGTATTGTGGAAACCCAAGCGGGTCTGTTCCCCCAATCATGGTGTGTTAATTGAATATCATCCTCCCTTTTTTACGGGGCCGGTACGTGGTATCTACTACGTGTATGTGTTATTTCTGACAGAGGTTTTGTACACAAATAAAATGCGCGAGAAACCACTCATGCGACTGCGCGCTGCACCCATAAATGAAATGCCAACCCACTATTTTATATAGAGGCTTCGAGAGATTGTTGTGATTAGAAAAGAACGCAATTATTCTTAATTGTTGGTTGGAGGAAAAGAAACATGTGGTTTGTGGGCTGGACAATGAAAAAGACGAATGTTACTTCCAATGCTCATACATGCTGCTGCACATCCCAAAAATCCCGCACAATCGTGACTAACAACTAAAAAGCCAAACTTTCACCCTTCGATCTTCGCCGTCAAGGGTGAATATGCTATTTTGCAATAATTCCCTCTCAAGTAAACACAGCCACTAAAAAGCCTTGCCCAGCCAGATGGTAGAAGACCCCTCGCCCACCGGCTCCTCCTTACCTCGTGAGTCTCCATCCATGGAAGATCAGGGCCTAAATGCATCCTAAATTCTGTTAGCTGCTAGCCATTTCAACTTTCAAAACAAAACAAACATCCTACCCTTAATTCTCGCTCAGACAAATGCCCCAAGCACTACATCCGTAGGCCACTATGCTTCAAAATTTCAAACGGCCTACATTTAAACTGCAATAACATTCTGGAACCCCAAGAAAAACCCCTTGTGAACGCGACGACAGGCGCATGTCGAAATGGTGCACATTGTTGCCCGTGAAGTTGCAACACTTCCGTCAGATGGCGCATCCCTGCCCTTGGCCCCCCCGCTCGACTACAAGATTCCCAAATATTTATCGCCCCCTCCCCGTTGCCTCCCCCTCGATCACCTCAGTCAGTTTAGCCTGCTTCATGTCCCGCTTATTCACCACGGCGCCGGAGCATTGATCGAGGGCAGAACAGTGGACAAGATGGGCTGCTATATAAACGGCCTGTTTCCCTCGGAGGTAGCTTCCCGATGGGTTCCCACCGCCCGGCCCATGGATGGTGGGCCAACATGCGGCTTGCATCTGCAGGTGGCTTACAGTGTCGGTTGCTGCCTTTATTTGTGTGTCTTCCATTTCGACGCCGAGCTCTCACTTCTTCTATCCAAAATCGTCATCACCCAGCTTCCACATTTTTATTTTTCTATTTAACGATCCCATTTGTTGCTTTCCCTCCTCTGTATATTACGAGAGACATATCCGCCCTCATTGTCTCTCCCCACTGTGTATTCCAGCGCCTCTTTGTTTTGGTCCAATAGAAAACGCAAGAAGACCAGGGGGGGGGGGGGGGGGGGGTGGGCCCACCGCGACAGAGAAAGAGGGGGGGACGGAAAAGAAGAAATGAAAGAACAGAGAGGAAGAGAGGAGATGCGGAGAGAGCGGGGCGGGAAGGGGGAAGGGCGGGGGGGGCAGGACGAGGAGAAAATGGGGGGACTAGGGAGTAAATGTGGGGGGAAGAGAGAGGAAGGGGCCCGGGGGTGGGGAGAGCGGGAGGGAGGGGTGGGAATAAGGAGATGGAGAGGTGAGTTAATATGGTTTTGGTTATTGTAGCTGTTGGGGATGGTGGGGGCAGTGAGGGTGGAGGAGGGGGGAGAGGGGGTGAGAGGAAGAGGGGGGGGGAGAGGAAGCGGAGGGGGTATGGGGTAATGGGTAGGGGGATGGAGCTAGAGGGATTGGAGCGGGGCGGAGCGAAGAGGAAGGGGATGGGCGGGAGGAGGATGGAGGTGGCAGGGGCAGGACAAAGTAGAGGGGGTGGGGGGGGGAGGGGAGAGGGGGGGCACGATGCGCAAAGAAGGGAGGGGGCAAGCTAGAGAGTGGAGAGGGGATGGATGGGAGGTAACGAGGAAGTGTGTAGCGGGCGGTGTAAGAAGGGTGGGGGCGGACGTGTGGGAGGGAGGGGGGAATGAGAGGGGAATGGGAAGTTATTAAAAAATTTTATTTTTTTATTATTCTTTTCTTTTTTTATACTTATTTTTCATATTTATATTATTTTCTGCAGAACTACATACCATGTACTCACAAGGAAAGCGCAATCAAAATAGCCACCACCCTCCATTCGGGAGATTCAGAAAACAAAACCCCTACCCTCCCCCCTCACATCGAGAGATGAGCTTGGGAGCGCCTACTACGATTGGACGCACCGAAGAAGCTGAAGAGAAAGCAGAAATCAAGTCCTCGAGGCACTACTGATGGAGAAGAGCTTGTGACAAAGAAACCTAAATGGATTTTTATAGCGAGGAGCGCGAACGAAAAGAAGAACGTTCCCAATTTATTTTTCCAAGCTTTACCCTCATTCCCACTCGGCACTCCCTTTTTCAAAAACGCGATGTGGACTTTGTCATTGAATGAACTGAAACTTAGGCGTGTCATGTATTACTAATGTATTGAAATGATGAGTGGTGTTGAATGAAGAGGAAAAGTCAACGAAAGAGAAATGGGTTTGAAAAATGAAGTGGAAATGGAGACATGGGACTGTTAAAGGAGCCACAATTTCAGTTAAATGAGATGAGCAAAAAGGATATTATGATTCATCACATTCGTGGTTAGTAGAACGATATAAAAAGGGCAAAGAATGGTGGGAGGCGTTTTCTTATTTCTTTAAATCAATTTTACTTTCTGCCAAGAGCGGTTGCCTAGTTGGTTTCGTATTAACCCCCTAGTCAGGAAGGAC